AGATGATGCTGTACAACATGATTCACTCAATCAGTTACGCTACCCAATGACTCTATCGCCACATCTGACGCCATTTTCGATGAAACCTGCCCCATCATTGAGGAAATCGAGCGCTCCAAAGCCTGCACGCAATGACACTTCAACATGTTCTTTGCCACGCGACGGTGATTCTCTGGACGTATGTCGAGCCCATGCGCGGAAGGCATCTCAATCAAGTGATTCTGATTTATCAGATCTTATCGATACTGATTTAACGACGCCCTCGCCTTGGCGCACTGGATTTGATGCTCCAGATGATTCCGATGGCATATCTGATCTTGACGATGCGGAGTTTAGGCTCCCACCTTCTGTTATTGGTTCTGACCCAGCCTCAATGCCAGTCACATCAGGTGCCACACCCTTGAGTATTCAGTCTGGTGCACGTACGCCGAGGCCCCATAAGTCTTGTACTTCGCCAGCGCTTTTGCCTCAACTTACTGCACCCTCCCAACATGTCCAGTCACCCATACTTTTTCATCGTATGCCTAGCTCCACGAATTTGCCGTCTTCTTTGGGATTTATCTCTAAAATATATCCACCACACAGCCTCAGACACTCTATCCACACTGGGAGCTGTGAAGGCAACAGTTTTGGGCAATGCACCCCACAACTTCGACGGAGCCCGCCACGACGTGTCTCGCCTGAGCGTGAGCAAGACGACATGTTCAATCCCAAAACGCTGTCTAAGGCTTGTACGATCCAGCCCACATACCCTCAAGAGGCCAGCATTCTAAAATCTTCTCCCGAGACTGTGCGCCCCACGAGCCAGGGAACTGTGCTCAATAGTAGAGACATCAATTCTGCACCGCAGCATTGTACGGGCCCCACCTCGCCGGGCGTAGAGGCCATGGACAAGGATGATAACGAGGAACCTCAGCGTGGTCGGTCGCGTACACGTCATGGGCACTCTTGTTGTACGGGTCGTCGAAAGTCTCTTTGGGCAACTTGTCATGCATGCTCGCTTCCAACTGCGAGTCTCTCTTCACATCAGGTGCCTGGAAATGCACTACTTTGCCCTAGCTTGTCGTCTCACAACGAGGAAAATACCAAATCACCAATTTTCTAAAAAATATCGACAAATGCACCATGCGTGCTACGTTGATCCCCACCCGTCTATGTCTTGTAAATGTTACTCAACACGTCGATATCAAGTATGATTCCCAACAATAGAAACCACTTTGCATACCCAAAATTGTGACATGAAATTATACTATATGTGATCTAAGTTTGCGTGGTGTTTCGAGGCGGTGTTTCTGGTCGACTCAGAACTGCCGAGTCACTTGTAGACTCGACGTCGGAGGACTGTTTCACAGAATTTCTGCAGACAAATATGCGTAGACAGCAGGTATAAACTAATGCTAAAATGGGGCGCCATATTCTACGTCTGGCGAAAGGAAGAGACTTACATAGGAGGGTAATGGGTAGAGGCTGGGGTATAGTATGTCATGGTAAGAATATTGCCATAAGTATTCGGCACGGAAGCGTAAACCAAGCAACAAAGCCAGAGCAAAAACCACGATACAAGCACTCGTGAATAGAGCCCGAATCACTGATATATGGGAACCACATAGTTGGGACCAGAGGGATGGGACCAAAGAGGCCTTTGATGGGTCTGTCGACGCTGCGTGCTCAGATGACAGGTCAATTTTCGTCACAAGCTCGCCCAAGCGGTGCCGAATGTCGTCCAGACGTTGAGCATATTCGGCATCATCGAGACTGATTTTTTCAAGGCGCAAGTCCATAGCTAGTGCATCCGTTGTATCTCCATCTTTCTGCGAAAACATGCTGTCAGAGGCATTCTGTGTCTTGATGAGATGCATCATTTGTCGTATTGATTCGTCGCCATTCTGCCTATCTGCCAACTGGGACCCATGAGTTATGAGCTTGAGTAATTGGACCGTCTTCCACAAATCATACGGTATAGTTGCGTCTTCGGATTCAGACCGTTGAGTGTCGGGTTCAGGTTTCGACTCCATTGAGACCGCGTCGTTGGTGAGAATCGACCCCACTTCTGACTCTGCCACGATATGGTCAACGTCAGGAATACTCGCATTAGGTTTCAAAGGAGACCCTTGAGGAATTTTGTGCTTTGAGGGGTATATAGACGACTCCAATGGATACAAGGACATCTCACGATGTGGTCGTTCGGCCTGAGGAGGCGAGTATGGCGGCGAGGTAGAAAAGCTCACACTTGTGCGCGTTTTAGAATGTAACGGCGATTCAATTTCACTCTCGTGAAGTGAGTCGTCCAGTTGAATGGTAGGAGGCGGCGGCGAATGCTGTTTTGCCTCGCGCGATTGCATCTCTGCTAGCAACTCATATCCACTAGACCATCGCTTGGCATAACGGTCTCGCTCTTGTTCTTCTTTTAAGCGTGCTTGAGCTTCCTCCTCCGTAATCATATGATATACTTCCATAATACTTGGTCTTGATGCATGGTGACGCTGTATATGCCGCGCCTGTGTTATCATGCTAGCCGAAACAAAGTAGAAAGGCCCAGGGCCACTAGGGCCAAACGTGATATTCATTTACTAGAATGCGACATTTACACTAAGTTCCATCGTGCCCGTGAGTATCGGTCCTGTAGTATAACGGTTAGTACGAAGGTTTCTGATTCGACCTGGATCGGGCATTCCTTAAGCCGCGGTTCGACTCCGCGCAGGACCTCTTTTTCGACTTGCTTTTTCTTACTTCGCACAGTTCCCTTTACCGTAGGCACAAGAGACGGGGCTCATTGGTCAGGATGGACATGTAGAGGTCGCATGGCTTATGTACTACGTAGTGAATCTCGGAGCCTTGGATGTACAGTGTCTTCACCAAGTAATGAGGTCGAACAGACATATCGCACAGCCAAAAACCCGCTATGTGGAAATAGATCTGATAATAGAGCAAAATGCGATCCATTACAGACTAGTCACACACAAGCAAACCTGTGGGTCCCAATGAAAGTATACTAGGGTCTTTACAGTATCATCATTTACATCATTGCCATAGCAGCGACAAGAGAGACGGCGACGACAATGGCGGTCATGCCGGCCTTGACGTGGGCCAGGTCAGAGATACCAGCGTCTCCATCACCCTTGTCTGACGAGTCGTTCTTTGAGTCTGACGATCCGCTCGAATTTGACGAGTCGTCCTTCGAATCATTGCCTGAGTTCGATGAACCCGACGACGAGCCCTTGCTGGGGTTCGCGTAGCCGTTCTTCTGATCAGCAAGCGAGACTACCTTGTAGGTAGCCTTATCGTCCGTCTTGATGTTGTTAATGTCAGGGAGACCCTTGGGTTCCGTCTTGCCATTGATAAAGTCGTTGTAGTCAGGGTATGTAATGTCCTCGGGGTACGGGTTTGTCACATTCTGGCAAGCAGTGATAGGGACAATGTGCTTGTAAGCCTTTGAGATAGTGGGCTCCATCTTCATGAACGTCTTCATCGTGTTCGTGTTGAGCTCGTGAGCCAATACGATGGGGCTCTCCTTGTCGGCCTTACCGGCGATGTTCTTGTAGTTCTGTTCGACCTGGGCTTGGGTAGCGCCTTCGCCAATCTTCCAGTCGTTTGTGTCGTCCTCCCAAATGATGGTGCGGAGACCAAGACCGGCAGCAATGGCGCGTACACGGTCATCCACGTCACCAAAGGGTGGACGCCAGCACGTGGGTGTGACGCCAGTAGCGTACTTGATGGCGCGAGCAGTGTAAAAGAGTTCGGCAAACACTTGCTCATCGGTAAGGGTAGTAGTGTAGCGGTGAGCCCAAGTGTGAACGCAAATGTCGTGACCGTCGGCCAGACCGCGCTGGGCCTGGTAAGGGAAATTGGCGACATTGCTACCGATGTAGAAAAGGGTGGCTTTCAGCTTCTTTTGCTTAAGGTAGTCGTAGAATTCGTTGTGGGCACAGTAGGGACCATCGTCGAACGTGAGTCCGTATGTACTAGGCTCAGGGCAAGTGTAAATATCAGGCATCATGCCCTTGTTGTTGTGCTTCGGCTTCGTGCACTGGCTAGCAGTCCACCAGCAGTCGGGGTCCTTGCTACTGTCGTAGCCACTGTTGTCCACACCCATATTGGTCGCACCGCCTTCACCGGTCTTGCCCTTCTTCTGCTTGACATCCTTGGGGATGATACCCGAATCCTGGATCTCCTTCCAAACCTTCTTAGCCTCCTCATCACCTTCTTGAATCGAGGCAATACGGCTGGGTTTGGGGAGTTTCTTTTGTTTGAGCAGACGGGTCATGGCATCATCACCGTACTGAATGCAGTCCTTTGGCTGATCGGAGTCCTTGATCTTGGCCATGTCAGCGGCATTGCTCGGTTCCTGAGCACGGCGGAGTAGGTGGGCGTGTCGAGGGTGCACACCATTTTGAAGCGTGGCAGATGTGCTCGCAACCAGAGAAGCAGCGATCAGGAGCTTGGCAGACAGTTGCATGATGTGGTGGTAACGGGAAAGAGCACGACGGAGAGTGTGAGTACGTCAATGTTATCTAGGCTCTGCCGGACCACTGCGCATGCATGTCACCATCGTGTAACATGCCTGTCATTTGAGGAATGTATCTGATGGGCTGACGAGCCTGACTAAGCACAGGCACATCCATGCCAGATCTCTGTGCTATCCAATCCCAAGGCGGTTTCGTGTTGCACGATTATCTCAACATGGAATGTGGAAGGACATGCTGAATAATATGAATGTGGCAGTGCACAAGTCAGGGGCAGGAGCGCGCATGGGCAGGGCGTGGCCCGTAGAGCGGTGGTGGGACGGCGATCGCGCGCGTCAGCCCGGAATGCGGTGCCGAAGAGCAGGACAGTGGAAGTGTTGGCAGCGGCTCGTATTTTGTCGACGTTGGGAGTTGCTGTGGAAGATGCTTGTTGGATGTCTTGAACGACGGCCATGTGGGGCGCCTGTCCGGGCCTGTGCGCCGGCATGGCCGTGTGAGAGTTTGAATAGGCAAGATCCCCGAAATCGTCAGTGAACGGGTCCTGTAGTATAACGGTTAGTACGAAGGTTTCTGATTCGATGTGGATCGGGCATTCCTTAAGCCGCGGTTCGACTCCGCGCAGGACCTTTTTTTCTCCCTCGCTGGCTGAGGCGCTGACGCGTCGTTACGGCCACGTGCGTTTGGATCCACAGGCTCATTTTTTTTCCTTCCTTCACGACGCGGCTGTGATGCAGGACGGAGCGGCACCGGCCACGATGCCGATCCGGCTTCGTACGTCGATTCCTGGCTGCTCGATTCCCTATGTGCCGTATATGGTGCCGGTAACGTGGCGCCGCTCGCAGCTTTCGACGCTTGTGAACAAGGTGCTAGCGACGGCGCAGGATGATCGCGAAGCATATACGTCTGTGCCGTTTGACTTTATTGTGGATGGCACGCTATTGCGGTGCTCGCTGGAGGAGTACCTTGCGCAGCAGGGGCATAGTGCTGAGACGACGCTGGAGCTGGAATATATTAAGAGCACCATGCCGCCGGCTTATAAGGATGCGGCGCGGCAGGATGACTGGGTTGCGTCGGTGGATGCGGGGCGGCCTGGCACGATTTTGACGGCCTCGTATGATGGTATTGTGCGTGTGTATGAGGCGGAAGCGTTGCAGAAAGAGCCGTACGCATATACGCCGGCGTACGCGTCGTCCGTCTCGTTGACGACGGCCAAGTGGCTGGGCACGGACGCGGTGGTGACGGGCAGTATGTCGGGCACGGTGGCCGTGTGGCGTGTGCCTGGCCAGGAGAGCAAGACGGTGCCTGTGCTGCAGGCTGCTGAGCTGGAGCACCATACGTCGCCTGTCTCGTCGGTGGATGTCGCGCCGACGGCCTCGGCGGACCGTGTGGCGGTGCTGAGTGCGGGATGGGACGGTTCGATCGCTCTGTGGGATGTGCCATCGGATGCGCGCTTTGCGGCGTCTTCGGATGGGAGCAAGAAGCGTCGCAAGCACGCACAGGGTGCCGAGGTCGTGGATACGGGTGCGGCTGCGCCGGTGCCGCCGGCGCCGACGATGGTGCTGCAGCATGTGGCGCCGTCGCTGGGTGCGACGGCTGCGCGGGCGCTGAGCACGGCGCCGACGCCTGGTCCGAATGCGCGTACGCTTGCGGCGTTGGCTGATGGGGACCGCCGGATTTGGAGTGCGGCGTGGGATGGCAGTGTCAAGAGCTGGGACGTGGCGTCGGGCGGGTTGTTGCAGGGGCAGAAGCAGACGGACAAGGTGCCGCTGTGCCTGGATCCGCTCTTGGCGCATGCGGAGCTCGTGTGTGGGCACATGGACCATTCGCTGGCGATGTACGACTTCCGCGATGCCGTATCGAATGCGGCTGTGGCCATGTCGGGTGCACATGCGGCGCCTGTGAGTGCTGTGCGTGTGCATCCGACGCAGGAGCACCTATTTGCGTCGGGTGCGTACGATGGGCGCATCAAGGTGTGGGATGTGCGTTCGCCGCGGCAGGCGCTCTTTGCTGTGTCGGATCCGATCGCTGCGAGCGGCGACGGAGGCGCGTCGCGCAAGGTGCTGGGTCTGGACTGGACGCCGCGGGGCGATGCGCTGGTCGCTGGTGGCCAGGACTGTCGTGTGTGTCTATACCAGGGTACGTAGCCTACCAAACGTCGCAGCGCGTACGGGGCGCCGGGCACTTGAAGGCGGCGGCAAAGGGCGCAAAGTGCGAGAGGGCCTGATGGAGGCGGCGGGCGTGGCGTGCCGAGCCGCGTTCGGCCCAGAGCTGGGCGTACGCGATGAAGAACAGCTGTTCGTGGGAGTAGAGCACGAGGCCGGGCAGCCGCTGGTTCTGCTCAAACACGCGCATGCCGCCATTGTCGAGGATGTGGTGCCATGCGCGGTAGCTGTGGGCGAGGCCCGCGTCGTCAGCGACGGCTTCGTGGGCGTCGCGGCCCTGTTGTGCCAGGCAGGTTTCGAGCTGCGCGAAAGCCTGGGCTGTGGCGTTCGACCACCAATCGCGTTTCGTGCCGTAGGCGTCATAGTGCTGGCCGCATGTGTCGTCGAGGGCCTGCGACATGTCGCGCGCCAGGAGCGAGCCGAGACTGCCGAAGCGGAGGTACATGGGCGCGGCCGTGTCGAGGACTGGCGGGCGCAGCAGTCCTGCGCCGATGTCGAGCTCGTTGTGGGCGGGCAGGTACGTGGCCTGCGCGGCTGTCCACGGGCCGGAGCGTGCGTGGTAGGGCGATGTGCCGAGCTCCGAGAGGGCGTGCCGCATGGCGTGTGCTCCTGCGTGCCAGGCGTTCTGTGCGCTATCGTGCGATACGGGGAGATCGGCGTACTGCTGTGCGAGGTCTTGCGCACTGGCGGACGAGGCGACGTGGATCGTCAGCGCCGAGGCCTTGGCGAGGGCCGTGCGCCTCGTCTCGGCGTCGAGCCATGGCAGCTCGTACAGCCGCCGAAAGTAGGCGGCGCGAATGTCGTCGGCCATGCGTGCGGCGTGAGCGGTGGTGGCGCTGGAGAGAGAGGCCTCGGCGACGTAGTAGCGGTGGACGAGTGGGCCCAGGGCGGCCTGCATGTGCCGTGCGCAGGCGCGGCGTGAGCCGTCTGGCAGGGCGCGCACGGCTGCCCATGCCGCGTAGGCGCGCCAGATGGACTCGGGCGTGGCTGTCCAGACGTGGTCGATGGAGCGCAGGAGCGTGGCGCTGGTCCGGACGTGCGTCGGCTGCGTGCCGAGGGCGGCGAAGTACGCGCCCCAGTCGACGGACGGCGCGAGACGCGCGAGCTCGTCGACTGGGAGGGTGGCGTCGGGCGCGGCGCGGGCGAGGCCTGCGTGGACGCGGTGAATGTCGGTGGCCTGGGCGGGGAGCGAGATGCCGGCGTGCTGCAGCCGAGCCAAGCCCGCTTGGATCTCGCTGACGGACGCGGGGGCCGGGGGAGCGAGGTGCAGTGTGGCGGTGTGGGCGGCCGAGCTCGCGTCGGGCAGGACGCTGAGCTGGCCCCACGCCTCGAGCGCATGCGCATGGAGCCACGCAAGCGCGTGGGGCCGGTCCATGGCCAGCAGGGCGCGAACGGTGTCTGCCGCGGGCTGTGTGTCGTTGGTCGTGCGGCACGCCGCGTACCACGCCTGCACCATGCCGAGGTTGTGTGCGTCCGCGTCGGGCATCTCGCGGGGGATGCGGCGCGTCGCGAGCTTGTGGACGGCGCGATCGACGTCCGACGCCACCTCGTCGAGCACGCGCGTGCCGTTGGCGCGCTTGGCCTGCGAGCCGCCGGTGGCGAATGCGACAAAGTCGTCGCATGGGTCGATGGACTCGTCGAGCGCACGCAGGACGCGCGCGCCCGTCTTGACGCAGTGGCGCGACACGCACACGTCATGCATGCGGCGCCGGTCGTCGAACTGGATCAGCGTGTACAGCCCCGTGACGACGAGGCACAGGCACACGATCATCAGCACGATATCGCGACTCGACAGCACTGACGCATGCTCCATGCGCGAGAGCGACTCTTGCGCGGCCGACAGCGTGTTGGGCCGGGGGCGCCGCCCGAGCAGCGGCGCCTGTTCCGACGAGCGTCGAGGCATGACGACAACTCCACATCTACGTGACACTACGCGCCGACGATCGGCGGCGGGGGCAGTGGAAGGCCGCGGCCCACGGCGCAAAGTGCGTGAGTGCGTCGTGCACGCGCTGCGGCGGCGCCTGGTGTGCCCACAGCGCGCCGTACGCGAGGAAGAACAGCTGCTCGTGCGTGTAGGTGAGCAGACCGGGCAGGCGCATGTTGCGGGCGTACGTCGCACTGTCGCCCGCGGCGAGCAGCGCGCGCCATGCCTCGTAGCTGCGTGCGAGGCCGTCGAGGCGTGCGGCGGTCGATGCGTGGCGCGTGGCGGGGCGCGGCGCCTCCCGCCGTCGGCCGTCCGCGTCGAAGAAGCGCCCGGGCGTGTCGATGGCGTGCGTCATTTCGTGCGCGAGGAGCGTGCCGAGCGCGCCGTACTGCAGGTACATCGGCGCGTCGCGTTCGTAGAAGGGCAGCTGCAGCAGGCCGGCGGGGCACACGATCGCGTTGTCGAGCGCGCTGTACGCGGCGTGGGCGTCGGTCGTGTGGCGCGCGCCGAGCGACCCGCGCGGCCGCTCGCCGCCGAGGAGCGACCATGCCTGCCGGTGCGCGTGCATGCGCGCGGCGAGCACGTTGGCCCAGTGCGCGCCGCCGATGGGCAGGTCGGCGTACCATGCGTCGATGGCCTCGGCGTCCATGGCGTTGGGCTGGGCCGGCGCGCCGATGTGCGCCTGCAGACCATGGAGCTTCGCGCGTGCCTCGGCGCGCGCGGCCGCATCGAGCCACGGCAGGTCAGGCAGGCGCTGGGTATACGCCGTGCGGATCGCGTCGATCATGCGCAGCACGCCACGGACGTCCGGCTGCGTGTGCTCGGCAAAGACGCGGCCGACCATGTGGCCCAGCGCGGCCTGCAGCGCGGCCCTACACGAGGGCGCAGGCTGGAGCGCGCGCGCGGGCCGTCCGAGCGGCACGTCAGGCCCGAGGTACGCACCCGCGTCGCGGATCACGGCCCAGCGCAGGTAGGCATGCAGCGTGCGCGTCGGCGTGCGATGGAGCAGCGCGGCGAGCTGCCGCAGGTACGCCGGGCTGGTCACGAGGACGCGGTGCGGCTGGACGCGCGGACTGTGCGCGTGCAGGTACGACGGCCAGTCGACGAACGGCGCGAGGACTTGCAGATCGGCCGTCAGCAGCGGGTGGTGCGTCGCCGCCGGGTCCGCGGCGGCGGGCGGGAACAGCTGGGCGAGCTCGTGCTCGAACGCGACGACATCGCGTGCGTCGCCGTGGACGGGCGCGAGGCCCTCGCGCACGAGCGCCTCGTACCACGTCCGCGTCGCAGCGTCGTCGTACGCGGCGGGCGCACGCAGGCCGAGGCCACTGGGCACGATGCGCGGCGTCGCGGCGTGGGGCGCGCGCCCCGGATCGCCATCGATGATCGCGTCGAAGAGCACGGGGAAGCCACGCGCATGCAGCCACGCGACGGCGGCGGTCGTCGCATTCGGCGCACGCAGCTCGAGCGACAGCTCGTGCAGGAGCTCGAGCAGCGGGGCCGCGCCCGCCTCGTTCTGCGCGCGCGTGTCCGTGCACGCCTCG